TGTGAGTGTGAATACATCTTTTCTCCCAAATTTGTTGCAGACAAATGTAATGAACTGGAGTCTGATTCCAGTTCTTTTTAGGAAAAACCATAAAGGTGTTAGCCCTGAGAGCGTGTCTTCCCAGCCCCTTGCTTGATCCTGGGAAGTTTGTATGTATTTAAAGCTGTCCTTCCTTAGGAAAACCTGTCACTCTCTCCAGCTGGCACAGAGAGAGCGTTGACGAGTTTTGCATTCTGCAAACAGCAGCGCTCCTGGTCCCAGACTGGCTGTGCCTGCAGCTCTCCTTTGGTTCTCCCGAGCTTCCTCACAGCCCCTGCTCATGGTGCTCCAGGGCTCCTGCTGCCCCCATTCCTGCTCCAGCCTGAGCATCCCCAGTGCCCAGCAGGGCCTGCCTCCTTTCCCTGAGCTGCTGGGACAGTGACAATTGGTGCCATGGTTAACTCCACATTGCCCCTCAGCTCAGGTCAGGCTGGGACACAGCTCTGCATCCCAGGGAAATTCATTCCTTTGATGGTTTTTTTTTTCCCCTGGTTTCTGTCACTTGGGTTTTCCTTTCATTGTCTGGGTTGTCCCCTGATCTGCAGCTGGTCCAGGTTCCCTGAGTTTGTGGTCATTTCTCATCTGGAGACCCCACCAGATCCTGTTGGGAAGCTGCAGCCAGTGCGAGAGACTTATTGACTTGCCCACTGTGAAATAGTGTGTTCAAAGCAATATTGCTAAGAAATGCATAACAAAGCTGATCGTTTTTTTCTGCAACAGGAAGATGCAGTCACACAAATGACAGCAGATCATCAGCTCTTTACAAATTAACTTGTTCTTCCCCTCAGTTTTCTCAGCCTGCTCTAAGCCTTAAACAGAGAGAAGGATAAAGAGGTCAATAATCTTTTATGATTCCTTATAGCTAAAAGGCCACAATACTTAGAGGGAGAACATGACAGGAAGGAAAGAACCTTAGTACAATGTTTTTCCTTAGATCCTCAGTGAGTGGAGAGAAGAGTAGTACCAGGACGATGTCAAAGGCAGGCAGGTGATGCATGAAGCCCTGCAAATGCATCTCAGCTGCCAACAAACTTGGGGCACCAGTGCAGCCAGACATGCATGTCTGACAGGGCAGGGAGCACCAGTGCAGCCCAGACTGTCTGACACAGTGCAGGGAGCACCAGTGCAGCCAGACATGCATGTCTGACAGGGCAGGGAGCACCAGTGCAGCCCAGACTGTCTGACACAGTGCAGGGAGCACCAGTGCAGCCCAGACATGCATGTCTGACAGTGCAGGGAGCACCAGTGCAGCCAGACTGTCTGACACAGTGCAGGGAGCACCAGTGCAGCCAGAAATGCATGTCTGACAGTGCAGGGAGCACCAGTGCAGCCAGACTGGCCCTGCTGCTCCTCCAGGCCATGCTCAGGGGCTGTGGATCTGCAGAGCAGCAGGAACCTCTGCACTGTTCAAACAGCTGGCTCCTGTCATTACAGCTTTAAGCCTAGGCTGCATGTGTGTAATTGTTATCTTTTTATCCTGTTACTGCTTCATTTAGAGGTTCTGTGCTGGCTGTGCCTCCATTTGGGAAAGCACTGGAGCCTTTTTCCCTGGTTGGGCACTGTCATTCCTCCTGCTCTGTTGGAGCCTGTGCTGACTCTGAGCTGCCTCTGGGGCCTCTGCCATGAATCAGATCTCCCTCTGGGCCTCCTTCAGCCACAGCTGCCCAGGATAACACCTGTCTTCACTCTCAGGGATTGCTCACCACCGAGCTGGATGTGCTGGGGGTCCCCATCAGTGGGACACTCACCTCAGACCTGTCAGACGCCCCCCAAGGAGGGCCTGAGCACAGCGAAAGGGCTTACAGGCATGCAGGGAAGAAATTAAAAGTAACTGTCATGTGTGTCACTTTCAGCATTTCCTTTGAATTGCTTTCTGTGCTCATGTTTTAATCCTGTCATTCCTAGTGTCTGGGAAAAAGAGGAAAGTGTCTTTTAGAGAAAGAGGAAATACTGAAACATTCCTGGTGATAACAAGTAGAAATAGAAGAAAATAAAAATACAGGAATGTGGGCATGGGAAGAGATTTCTAGGACTTTCTTCATACTCTATTAAATTTGGGAACCCTGCAAGACAGTTACTTTTATTCATGTTTGGGGCACTAAACTTGCATTATGTACCTTCTCTGTTGCATTTAAAGAAGAGATGAAAAGAAAACTTACATTCTTCAAACAAAGAGAAAAACCCCAAAACCTCACAAAGCCACTTGCTTAAATTTAGTAAAAGTACAAGGAAATGATTCATGCAGAAAGTGGATGTTTTCTAATAGTGAAAGCAGTGTGGTGGTGTGCCAGAAACCCAGACGTTTGTGTCTGGCTGATGGCTGGGTGTGCTCCCAGGAGGAGCTGGGGACAGGGAGCATCACCAGGGCCTGGCAGCCCTGCTGACTCTCACCCAGGTTTGTGTGTGCTTCCTCTTGTCTGGGGCAAGCTGCAGCTGTTACTGCATCGGCAGCTTTCTGAAATGCTTCCTGGTCCTGCCGTGTTGACACCAAACACGTTGGTTTAAACCCAGGTCCCATTCAAATGGAACCAGTTTGGAAAAGCCTCCCACACTAACCTGTCCTGCTGTGCAGCCTGCTCTGGTGTCTGAGATGCTCTCCCTTCTGTTGGGGCTGGGGCTGTGGGTTCCTGAGCTCAGCAGTCACTGGGAGCACACGTCTGGAAATGTGCCTGGCACCAGTGTGGCCAGCCCTGGTGTGGGTGTGCTGGGATTCCCTCAGCATCCAGCTGCATTGCCCACGTGCTGTGGCTCAAGTAGCTGTGATTTTGAGATGATTTTCTGGCCCTTTTGATGTTTCAGTGGAGTTCTTCATGTTGCTCATACCCTGGCACTTTGAGCTGTCCTGGTCTCCAGCTGACCATGCCTGGAGAAGGTGCCTGCTCCTGAGGCTGGGAGGTGCCTGGAGCTGGCAGTGGGAATCACCAACCTCACCTGGAGTTCACATCATTGCCCACAACAAAGGACCAGTCTGTCTCTTCATAACTCAGTAGGAAAATGGGCATTACTTATGAGTTAGCAAGGCATGAAGGAAATTCACATTTCCTTCTGCTGTGTATTTTAGGGCTGTGCACAGGCCGGCTCACACAGAGTGCCTGCTCCTGCTCACACTGCCATCCCTGCTGGCTCACACAGCCCTGGCCCCAGCTGCACACAGCCTGCAGATTGGTGACCCTGTCCTGTTTCTCTCTCCGTTTGGCTGATTCCTCTGTCAGCTGGGGGTCCCAAAGGGCTTTTCTGCTTTTCTGCTCTCAGTTGTAGCTCTGTCTCTGCTGAGGTGCTGAACCTTGTGGGTGAATAAGAACAACTCCTGTGGTGCAGTGTCAGAGCTGGTGGGGTTCTGTGATGAGTGAGGGAGAAATGGACAATTAAAGGAACAAAGGCCCTTTGGGTTGTTTCCTCTGTGATTCACACCGAGAGCCATGGTGAGTAATTTGCTATCTTCTAGATGTAATAAATCCACAGGTTCACATTTCTCCAGCATTTTGGATATGCGCTTTATTTTGTGGGGGACTGTTTCCTCTAGTTAGTGAATTAGAGTTTCACAGCGATTTACTGGCTCCAGAGGGCAGCACTGTGTGATGAACTGAGAAACATTCCTGTGACTTCTCTGAGCAGAAGTTTCAAAGTTTGGTTCCAGTTATAAACATTAAGTATTTATTCCTGAAGCTCCAAATACAACTAACCTGTATTATAACTGTGTAAAGTCTTCAGAATATACTAGAGAGTGGCTAAAAAGTTTAAGGAAATGCTGCTTTTGAAAACAAATGTATAAGATGACCGTTGAAGTCTGACAGAGAGGTACATGTTTTTTATCAAGCTGCCCCCAGCCCCTGCTGTGCCCCATCACAGGGAACTGCTCCTAACTTGGCATCCTTGATTTTTGGGCTGCACTGCTAACAGGCTGGGGGGAAAATGGGGTTTACTGTTTGAAGATCCTTTTGAATTAAATTGTTAGTAATAAACCAGAGTTGCATGAAGACAGCAGAACAAACTGAATTACTTCTGAGACATGACTTTCTGCTGGATTGGAGCCTTTGCTGGGTTAGGAAGTGAATTTACCCAACATTTGTCACTGCCAAATCCTTTTTAATTCTCATTATGCTTGTTTCCTTTATTGTCACAGTTTTTCCAAACATATTTAAGGTAGGTGAGGATAACTAGGAAAAGTTTGCTATAGAAAAGTAGAGAAAATATAGTCATGCTGATATTGCGGCTCTTGAGTTTAAAAGTATTAATCTTATATAATTTTCAGCCATTTTTGAGGGGTTTTCTATAGTTTTTATATGTTGAACAAACTGATGGGAGAGTGTTGCAGCAATGGGCACCTGCCTGGTGCAGACTCCTCTGCCAGCACCTGCACAGCAGAAGGGGCTGTGGGCTGGGTTTGTGCCCCCAAAAACCTCCATGTGCTGGTAGTGCCTTTGATAACCTCAGCAGTTCCTGCAGCCTGGTAGCCAGGAGATTACACAACATGTTTAAAGTGAGGGATTTGGTTTCAGAAAGGGAAAAGATGCTGAAGTCTTGTAAAACACTGAAACTGCCTTCAGTAAGCACCAGATTTGCTGAGCAAAGCTGGGGCGGTTTCTGTAGCACCCACGGAGTTATTAGGGTACAGGATTACTCCAGTTTTATTCAGCACATCAGATTTCCAAAGAATCACTTAGCAAAAGCATTAGAAGCACGTGCATTTTCACTGGGTCTAATGAAGAAAACAGCTGGGGATTGAGGAGGCAGATGTGTAAAGCTGAGGGCCCAGAGATGGATGGTGGGCACTGAGTTTGGGTGTGATCCCGCTGTGCTCAGTGCCACAGCTGCAGTGGGGCATCCTGAACCCTTCTCTTGTGCAGGCTGAGCAGCCTGCTGGGAGACTGCAGGGCAGGAAGGGAGACAAGGTTCTGAGAGCTCTCAGGGGCTGCCTGTGTCCCTGCTGTGCAGGACACCCTCCTGCCCTCCTGCCCTCGCTGCCCTCTCCAGCTGCTGGCCCCTGTGCCAGGGCGGTGCAGCCGGGCACCTGTGGCTCAGGCACCGTGGGGTTTGTTCCTGCCGTGGCACCGTGGGGTTTGTTCCTGCCATAGCTCGGGCATCATGGGGTTTGTTCCTGCCATAGCTTGGGCATTATGAGTTTGTTCCTGCTGTGCCTCAGGCACTTAAGTGCCTTAATTTTGCTTTCCTTTAAATCCCCTGAACATGGAGAGAACCAATGCTAGCAAATGATGCTAGAGCTGATTTTCCCTTTCCTCTCTCCTTTTGCAGACTGAATGCTGTGATGTGCCCAGGCACTCAGGTGCTTGTGGCTGCCTTTGATGGAAGCCGTTGCAGGGCTGAGCCCAGGCTGGCTGCAGCCTGTGTTCCCACCACTCCTGCAGTGTTCCTGGCTCAGATGACGTGGACGTAGGTGGCTGCAGTGTCGGTGCCCAGGGCGTTCCTTGCTGTGCACCTGTACGTGCCAGAACTGGAGGGCTGGGGGTTCTGCAGCAGCAGAGTCCCCGTGGGGTGCAGCAGCGCGCCCCCAGAGCCCCGGGCCTGGTGAGCTGTGGAGAGCACGGAGCGGTCAGGCAGCTCCCAGGTGATTTCTGGCTTGGGGACGCCCAGCACGACGCAGTGGAGCTGAACGGCTGCCCCTGGCGTGGTGTGGATGGCTGGGGGCGGCCTGCCGGTGATCCGCGGGGCGTAGGCCGCGACCACGACCAGGATGCTGAGCGAGGAGTCCCCGGCGTCGTTGTGGGCCCGGCACAGGTAGGTGCCCGAGTCGAGGGGCGAGGCTGCCCCGATGAGCAGGGTGCCGTTGTCCAGCAGCAGGAGTCGCCCGCTGAGCTGCGGCCGCTGCAGCACGCGGCCCCCGGGCAGCGTCCAGGCCACGCGGGGCCTGGGGCTGCCCTCGGCCGGGCAGTGCAGGGCCAGGGGCTCCCCGCTGACCCCCCGCACCAGCCCTGCTGGCTGGCTCAGGATCCTGGGCCTCTGGGCCACCTCCAGCAGCAGCAGCTTCTCGATGTAGCCCACCTGGTTCCGCGCAGCGCAGCGGTACCGCCCGGCGTGCTGGCTCTGGGCGCTGGCGATGGTCAGGGTGCCGCTGCTCCCTGTGACAAACTGGGGTGTCCTGATGCTGCTGGAAAACCACGTGCCATTGGGCAGCATCCAGCTTATGTCCGGGGGAGGGTTTCCATCCACAGAACAGTTCAGTGTGATAGGCTTCCCAGGTTTTGCTATTATTTTTTCATTGAAAGGGTTTTTGAACATTGGTCTCCGTAGCATTTCCGTGACTTCCAGCTGCACCACCAGCACAGTCTCTCCCCCATCGTTACGTGCCACACAGATAAAGTCCCCCATGTCTGAGGGCCTGATGTTCCGAATCTCAAGTGTCCCGTTCTTGTGCACCACAATCCTGCTCCCGTAATATGGGGCTGTTAGGAAAATGTTATCAGGCATGATCCACATAATCTGGGGAGGAGGTGTCCCCTCTGCCCGGCAGTCGATGTGTTTCTTGGAGTGCCTCACTGCCGTCACCTTCATGATGGTTCTGTTTCTGTGTAGGCCATTGATGATGGGGGGTTTGGCAGCCACAGCCAGCCTGTACAGCTTGCTGTCGTCCCCGCCAGGGTTCCGAGCCACGCACAGGTACTCCCCAGCATCCAGCAGGCCGGCCTGGCTGATGGACAGCGAGCCGTTGGCGTGCAGGGAGTGCCTGTCTGTGGACGAGGAGATCATCTCACCGGAGGGCAGCAGCCAGAATATCTGCGCCCTGGGCTCTCCCGCAGCCTCACAGTCCAGCAGGGCTGTGTCTCCAGCTGTCACTGCGACGTGTGTCTTGTGGTTGTGCTTTATTTGAGGGGCTGCCACAACGACCGTGACGTGGATCTTCATCTCGTCCCTCCCCAGGGTGTTTTGGGCGTAGCACGTGTAGTCTCCTCCTTCTGCCACTCCAGCTTTGTTGAGGTGCAGAGTGCCATTGTGGAACAGGACGTACCTGCGAGCCCTGTGCCCGCTGTCATCTGCCAGCATCACGTTGTTCACCACCGTCCCATCTGGCAGGCCCCAGGATATTGCTGGGGTGGGCGACCCCGAGGCCTTGCAGTCCACTCTGAAATCCTTCCCGTACGGCACCAGCTTCTTGAACTGCTCTTTGTGGTCAATCTTGGCTGGTTTCATTGTGATGCTGACTTTCATCAGGATCAGATCTTCCCCGATTCTGTTTCTTGCGACGCACAGGTAATCACCTGCATCCTTTTCTGTAACTGCCTCAATAGCCAAGGATCCGTTGGGGTAGACATGGATCCGACTTCCCATTCTGTTGTGGGAGAGAGAGAGAGAGGAAAAGAATTATGGCAACAAGTGCTGGGGGTGAACACTGAGCACTGGAAGGGACTGAACGTGCTGGCAGCACGGTACAACACAGAGCCTTTCCACAGGTGCTGTGCCCATGCCTCCTGCCCACCCAGCGTGTCCTGCCCCGATGTCACTGCCAGTTTTGGAGCTGTGTGGATGTGAGCGGTGCTGGCTCTGCTGGGAGCACCCTGGGCTGCGGCTGTCTCTCCTAAGGTGGAGGTGAGTGTTATGTGGGAGGGAGCGGGGGGACACCTCAAAGGTAGACATGGCAGAGATGAGAGAAACCCCTCCCTCCTGAGCCCTGCTTCACAAATCTGTTACAAATAACCCCTTCCTCTAAACTGACAGCAGTCAGCCAGTGCATGGTGACAGCAATTACCTTAATTCAAATATGACTTGTACCTGTTTTGAGACCTCATTCACCTATGGCAATTGATGTAGTCTGTTAATAGGTCTGTTATTAGATATAGATGCTGTTAGAACACATGTTTCACAACTGTGAATTGCTTAAAATTTGGTTTAGTTCACAGCGTATTAGTGCTGTAATAGGCTCTTATGTGAGAACCAGAGCAGACAGTGTTTGAAGCTCCACAGAGGGGGAGGAAAAAAAGGGTCATACCTGTGCCACTGGTCCACAAGAGCCTTGGAGGGCAACCTCCAGATGATCCTGGGCTTGGGCTCCCCACTTGCTGTACAGTTCAGAAGCAGCCTGTCCCCGAAGTTGAGCCGCGTCAGTTCC